AGGCTGTCAAATTCTACGAAACCTATCCAGAGGTTCACAACTTCTCGCCGAGTCAAAGGTTCACAACTACCTTGGGAGAACATCTCAATCAAATAGACCCGTAATCGATTAGGCGTATTTCCTTCGTGAAAAGAGTGAAACATGAGTAAATTCATACCAGTCCGCTTGCCACCCCACGAACATCATAAGATTTAATCCTACAGTCATTGAAGCAGAGTCCAAATGATCAATATACAAATTATTCAAGCTTGAAAAATATGCACCATTTTACGAAATACATAACTTCAAGAGCTGCGCAAAAATATCTTTAAAAAATACCTTTCTTAGTAGAAATCATATTTCCAATTCGATATCCATCCGCTGAATGAGCAATAATACCCAGAAGCTTGATCTCGCAGCCAGCCAAACCTGCAAGCTGCATCAAGTGTCAGTAATGAAAGTACGGTCAAACATGCAAGTTTGCTGTAATGGACTTTAAACATGGACGTCGCATTTAAACAATATTGTAAAAGCAAAACAAAACTATAGGCATTGAATTCGGTTCATCCACTGCATTTTACTAACCGCAAATTCATGTAGATGGCAATGGCAGGAAGTGACACATTCACGCTATCCGTGCTCGTACATTTAAGTTGACATCCCTTTGAACGGAAGATAAAATCTGTCAAACAGCGCTATCGATGAGAGGTCATTCTTTGCTTTTCCTGCATCCAAAGCATTTCTTGCATACCTCTATCGTTTGTCACAACGCTTCAAATAGTAGGATCTTCAGAGCCGCGGCGATAAATTTCTGAATATTCTCAAGGAGCGAATGCAAACACCACTTTCAGCAAAAATCTCGCAGTTAACAATACGAAACTTCATAGGACTTTTGCAGCGTACAAAACTGCAAAGCTCAGTCTTACGTTAGCAATGTTCTGAACGTTTAGGTCGACCAGAAGTGAAGGCGAACAATGCTCGCCGCTGTCGTTTTGAAGATGATCAGATAGACGCTGTCGGTGGCAGGTGAGCTTGATCGCCTTGCGGCAAACGTAACGGTAGGTGAGTCGAAACGTGCGGCAGCTAAGAACAGCGACTACTGACTTTGACCATAAAAACGAATAGCAATAACCTACCGAATGGGCATCGATGTGTTAGGTAATTCGGAGTGCCAGTAAAAGACTAGCTTGATGTGCGATTGGGACACGCTTCCGGACAAGAACTGAACGTTCTCGCCATCGTTTTCATCGCCGAAACAACCGCCAGCGCGAATCCAGCAGATACGGTAGAGAGTATGCGCCGGTGGCAACATCTCACCCTCGGCCAACAGGCTGAAAGTCAGGTACTTTTTCCGGAAGCCTTCGGCATCTGCCTCTAAAGTCCGAACAGCGGACAGGACGGAACGAGGCGAAACGTCGGTGGAGGCTGAACCATCGACCACGGTGAATAGCACATTCGAGTTCGGCGTCGCACACGCCGTCACTTTATGTATGGGCAAGGTACCGACATTCTCTAAAGTGAAGGGAACGAAAAACAGCTGATCCTCAAGAACCTCGACGACTACACTGCTTTCACATCGAATACGCAATGACGGACAACTGTCTACGATATGGGGTTCGAGGCGTTTGTCGGGCGCGTACACGACCGTCATGCGCTCCTCTTTATTTGAGTTCAGTCTCCTACCGCGAATGTTGAACAGCTGATAGCCATATACGACCGGCATTTTGTTGCAATAACTCTGAGCAGCATCGACGCCCAATTCGCTATCAGAAAACGAGACGCTAGCCAAACCATACGCCACGCCGGTAATGTTTAGAAAACCACGACGGTGACACGTTGCACTTAAGACCAACGGTATGTCGGCAGCATGGCCCGGTAAAGGTACCTCATCGAGCACGTCGGCAGTCACTGCATTAAACTGAAAATCAGAGTGATCGTTCTCGTCCGCTTCTGCTTCAAAAGTAGACATAAGCTGCACGTCCGTCATAAGTAGAGGAATGTCGAGCAAATTGCTAACGGTCAAGATCACATCAATCTGCTGGCCAACTGGCACCTGCACGCTTGTACTATTGTCGATCGCAGAGTTCATGTGATAAACCAGAGGTGCCGAATGCAGAGAGCACGCGCGTTCCATTGTTTTCCACGTACCTTCGTCGTCGACAAGGAAGCACTCGCGGTCCGCATTCTGGATGCCGAAATATACTTGAATATCCTGAGAATTTATCCACGGTATACGTAACGGAGTTGCATCGTCGTTGTTCATCTGTTTGCACAGATACAGCGCGTTAAGATATTCGCGAAGGAACACTGCCTGTTGATAGGCTGATTGCAAACTACCGTCCCTGATGAGGCGTTCAAAGCAGCAGGAACTTAAAACAGGCATTTGCAACGCCTGGTACTGATGACCCAACGTAGAATATATGTGATCCTAAAAGGCAGAAACATATCATCTGACAGGACATTGCCACCATCTGCGCTATTACGGTTTACACCGTTTTAAAAATAACCTCTCAAAACCAGGATGAAAGCGCTTAAGATTTCAATCAACGCTCACGATCGAAGTCACTTTTATATTATTAAACAAGAACAGGAACCTGATGACTGGCACACTGTACCTTGACCTCAGTTAATTAGGAACATTGAAATTTTGGAGTCGAGGCGTCTAAAACGGCCAAAATATAATTACACACGAAACGAAAGAAACGACACGAGTGCGGAAAGTGGAACAACTCCAAATATGTCGACCAGCTGCGAGATAAGGAAGAAAACTGACTAAGCAATAGTGAGCAATAGTAATACGATGGTGCTACGATGGTGCAGCAATTTAACTATTGGCAAGGTAAGCTATAGAAAACGATGCAAAGCAAGAAAACAACCTCGGAAGATCGAGTGTATTTTGTCATTAAATAAGCAAGCATCCGATCCTTAAGAAATGCCGACGCAAAGCCTTAAGAAGAAACGCTTACAATCCTTAAATCAAATTGACACGATGCTACTCTACAGCAGCACTCATTTAAGTGCAAAGTTAAGAAACTGCAATTGATAGTTCAGTTATCGGTTTGGCGTTATGGTTTCGGAACGCTTAAATAGATTAGAACATTATACTAACAGTCTAGGTCTCATGTTCGTTGTGTAATATTTTTATTAGAGACCAACTACAACAGTTTCATTCAAAGTTTTATTTCAATTACTTATCTCATAGTCAATATGATCCCGGCCGAATCTCGTTCATCTGCTGTAACTCCATTTATACCACATGTAATTCCATTTAAGTCCTAACTCCATACATACATCGTAACTCTTCCCGAATCCCCATCTTCACTTAAGCCCACAACACATGCTAGCCTGTATCTGCAGCCATGCCCGCAATTACGCGCAATAACTAACTCAACCTATCTTCATAACTGCATCTGACCGCGTTTCAATTTTCTGTTCTGAAAGGCAAGATTCACTGATGATCCTCTCTTAATTAGTCAAACACATACTCATCTATTTAATGAATTATGTAATAATTATGTTTTATGTGATCAAATCCGAAGGAGTGGCGCGTACAGATTATTCTCACTCGACTATTCTTCTAACTTTTGTTAGCAGACCCAATTTTGAATTGATTGACTGACCGCGGCGAAGTCTCCGTAAAATTTCGCCACTCATGGTATTGACGCCTTCGAAAATTATACCAGCTCGGTCGTCGCCCGGGTTACCAAGGGCCGCG